TTTCGTATACTGAAAATTGCCTCGCAGATATTATATCTCTGGCATTGAAAATAATGACAAGTATAATGTACCTGCCTTAAAGCCTTAGAGGCCTTATGAGTACCTACTAGTATATATATATGTTACTATTCTTGTTATAAAAATAGGAGATATATATAGTAACTAATTTACCGAAAGATTAGAGTTTAGTTGCTCTCTAAGAGGTTCAAATTCAAAATATCTTTGTTCATGTAGGTCTATTACAGACTGTTATGATATGTCAAATCTACCGTCAGTTCGGAATGATATCGAGATGAGAAGAACTGATAAGAAACTCAGCTCGTATTCATTTCAAATAAATGTTGTAAGAATTGCATTATGTTATAATAATAATAATATCTCACGACAATTCACACAGCGCCATCTAGTCCCATGGTAAGCTGAGCTTGTGTTATAGGTACTAGACAACATATAATTTTTTTTTTAATACATGTATAATTTACTTGGATATATATGTAGGACAACATATACATATACATGTACATGTATATATGTAGGACTGGTAGCTAGTCCTATATAATGCGAAGTCTATATTGTCAACCATTCATGGTGCTCCGATACAGTAGTACTTTAGTGTGCCAATAGTGATTACCGTAATAGCAATGCCATTCTCTTTCCACTCACGTACAGCATCCCTGTACATTTTATTATAAAGAGCAGTACCCGCGACTACGTCCGTGTGAAATTTAACTTTATTTTTCTACAATATAATTTCTTATATATATCTAGGTATTCTATAAATAAAATAATTTTTCTAAAATAAAAGTACCAGTAGCCTAAGTTACTCCTTATTACATCAGCTACCTGTCAAAAAAGTCCCGTTAAAATTGGTCCAGCCATTTCTGAGATTATCCGGAACAAACAGACAGACAGACAGACAAAAATTGTAAAAAAGTTATTTTGGTGTATGTGTTGTATTTATATTCATATGCATATAGTAAAAAACGGTTATTTCAATATTACAAACAGACACTTCAATTTTATTTATATGTATAAATATTCGCCGAACATTGAATATAGATGTCAGTTATAAAAGTTTATAGCCAGTTTTTATTTGATCAACTTACGCACGGCTGTGGGATGGACTTGAATTGATATTGAAGTATTGATGAGTTACATTCTGACCACAATTTTTATTCTTCCTTCCGATTGTAGCGGGTTCGGTTCCTCCTTCATGAGTATGATTGTTTGTATTGGTTTGCGTGTTGTCTATGTATAATATGTATGTATTTATGAAAAAATATGTATCTATGTCTAGTATTATCTAGTACTCATGATACAACTTTTGCTTAGCTTGGGACTAGATGGGTGTATGTAAATTATTAAGGTTTATTATAAAAAAAACATATACATAACTAGCTGACCCGGTGAACTTCGTTCCGCCTCGGAATTAAATCATATGTTTTTTTAAGTCTAAATATATGTAACTCAAAGGTGACTGACATAGTGATCTATCAACGCACAGCCCAAACCACTAGACGGATCGGGCTGAAATTTGGCATGCAGGTAGATGTTATGACGTAGGCATCCGCTAAGAAAGGATTTTGATTAATTCTACCCCCAAGGGGATAAAATAGGGGATGAAAGTTTGTTTGAAACTTTGTCAAATTTAAACCGATCGGGCTGAGACTTTGAATGCATAAAGCTACTATGACGTAGGCATTCCCTAACAAAGGATTTTGATAAATTCCACCCCTAAGGAGGTAAATTAACGCGAACGAAGCCGCGGGCAAAGGCTAGTGGATAATAAAAATTTTATTTTTACTATTTTTCCATGAAATTTCTATATATTTTCTAACCATTTGAACTTTATAAATTATTTAAAACCAAAATTAACCAAATCGGTCCAGCCGTACTCGAGTTTTAGCGAGACTAACAAAAGTAATTTTTGTGTAGAAGATATACATAGAAAATTATTAAAATTATTAATATATTTGTACTACTATTAACTGAAAAGACCAACTAACAATCATGGTTTGCGTAAACCGAATTTCAAGTTAATAGAAACTTTAAGCTCCATCATTTGATAACGTTGGTAGTTAAGCTCGGATTATGAGCTTCGGTTCTTGTTTAGTAACTGGTATTAAGTAAGCTTGTAATCTTAGACTACAGTAGTTGGTGCATAGTTAGGTGCTGCAGCATAATGAGGTGGATCAGGTAGCTTTAGACACCTATTCAATAATAATAATGACAACACTGAATAATATTCATTCATTCATAATTTAGGAGCCACGCTCTTGCACCTTTCCATGACCTTCCAACAATATTCATAGCTAAATAAAAATAACTTGTATTAAACAACAGTACAAAAGTGTGAAGTACATTTTGACGGTCTTGGTGGTCCAGCGGTTTAACACGGCGCTTTACTTCCGATGGTCAAACATTTGTATTCATGAGTATGATTATTTGTACCGGTCTGAGTGTTTTCTATATGTTAGAATTCACATCATTATTGTAGAAAAAATCCGATATTTTAAAAATATATTAAAAGAAGGTAGTTTGTTTTTAGTACTAATGAAGTACCCAATGTAAGGATTATTACGAATATTGTAAATAGCGCCATCTAGTATTTATAGAGGAACCTACTACACTGACTTTGGTCTATAAATACGGAGGTCGGTAGTTGAATAATCCTCTTTCGTTGCGTGAGCCGCAGCATTCAGTCGACGAGCGCAGAGCGTGCCAGTTGTGTTTTGGATATTAAAGTGAATTGTATTAGCAATGGGTTTATCCCGATCTTAGTTGGGCCTGGGGGGAAGCTGAAGTAGTGAAGGTGAGTGTTAATGCATTCTGCAAGGGCCTTTTAAACCTACACCCGTGTCACAAGTCACGGGCGCTACTTGGGGTTTCCCTTGCGGTAGCCGGCTTCAAAGCCTCAGTCGTCTATCATAATTAGTGCTTCTTACATATACGTAATAAAAAAAAATGTATCTATGTATGTATATCAGTTATCCAATACTCATAAGATAAGCCCTGCTTAACTTGGGATTAGATGGCGCTGTGTGAAGTATCCTGAAATATTATTTTCGTGAACATTGAAGCAAATGTGCTTTAAATAACTCCTGGACTGTTTGAGCAGATGACTAATTTTTTTAATTATTAATATGTATTTGCAAAAAAAAAAGTATTTTATGTATATCTATCAATAGTCTAGTACTCGTAACTGCTTAGTTTAGGACTAGATGGCGCTGTGTGGATTACCCAGGCTTATTTGTTTTAATAACTGGACAATAAACACAGTATAAAATGAAGTCGCTTCTTAAAATACTACACAAATTTTAATGCAATTTTTAGCAATGATTCAAGAGGAATATTTATATATATAATACATACACACACTTGCGAAGCTAGAGCGGGTAGTTACTAGTATATAAACCAACATACTAGTTTGCGTTGAACAATATATACGTACATAGAAAAACCCATTACTGTGGTGACGACCGAAAATCGTGTTGCCAATGAAAACGTACTTTCCTCATTTAAAGTTGATTGATGCCTGCCCCGACCGACCGTAAGTCAATATTTCAGCCCAGATAAGGCCGATACGCTACTGAAAATCAATACAAATGCTTCGAATTGAGACGTGCTATTACGAGAGAAACCGTAATCTATTGGTATAACTAATTTGATATGCAAATTGTATCGTTTCTGTAACTTAATCGTAGGATTGGGAGACTATTTCAAATTGCTGTTATAGTGATGTATCGTCGTCAACTGTAGGTATTGTTATTGATTATAATAATGTAATAATTCGATGAACATTATGTATGTATTAAAAAAAACTAAAACATTATTCAGTTGTTCAGTACCTATAACACAAGATCTTACCTTGAGGCTGTCGTTGTGTGAATTGTCCAGGGGTATATTATTATTATCCATCTTGATGGTACTTTGTTGATGACCAGGATGCTATTTTGTATTATAATACACTGTATCATAATACAAAATACCATCCGAAATTATATTTTACATATATAACTAGTTGTTTCGGCAAACGTTATTTTGCCACATAAATTAATAACGCTATAAAAAAATAGTGGTTGGTGGTAGAAGTTTTGTATTTTACAGTTTTGTATTTTTATTCCCAGAGAGCAATGGAGAGGGCTATGCTCAGAGTTACTCTGCGTGATTAAATCAGAAATGAGGAGATCCGCAGAAGAGCCAGAGTGACCGACATAGCCCGAAGAGTGGTGACTCTGAAGTGGTAATGGGCTATAGCTATGTGCCCTAGCTCGTAGGACAGATGGGCGTTGGGACAGTAAAGTCCTCGAGTGGCGATCACGGACTGGAAGGGGCAGCGTGGGAAGGCCTCCAGCAAGTTGGACCGGCGATCTGGTCAAGATCGCTGGAAGCAGCGCAGTCGTGGAGATCTTTGGGGGAGGTCTATGTCCAGCAGTGGACGTCTTCCGGGCTGCGATGATGATGATGATGTATTTTTTAAAGACACATAATAAAAAATAAAAAATTTTGCACAAAAAATAAAAAAATAATGTTAAGGGTGGACAACCCTTATCACTTAGGGGTACGAAAAATAGATAGTAGCCGATTCTCAGACCTACTGAATATGCATATAAAATTTCATAAAAATCGGTCAAGCCGTTTCAGAGGATTATGGTAACTAACATTCCGATACGAGAATTTAATGTATAAGAAGATTATAAACACATTGTACTTACTCAACTATGTTAAGTAGGGTGTTGTGTTAAGTGCATTTTACTGTTTTATCTGCAAGTAATTCCTATTTATTGCCAGTTGAACTGTATTGAATTTTAGTAATTCAATATTATTTGGCAACAGATAATAGTGAGTGTTTGCAATACTCGTTTGAGTGCTACCGATAATATTAATTGAACCAGCCGATATATTGTGTAGTAAAAATATAAGCTTTCATGTTGATGATGTCCATATCTAATTTATGTATCTTTTATTAGGAGCCAACAGAATATCAGCGCTGCAAGGAGCCAACAGAATATCAGCGCTGCAAGGAGCCAACAGAACATCAGCGCTGCAAGGAGCCAACAAAATATCAGGGCTGCAAGGAGGCAACAAAGCATCAGCGCTGCAAGTAGCCAACAGAATATCAGCGCTGCAAGTAGCCAACAGAATATCAGCCCTGCAAGTAGCCAACAGAATATCAGCGCTGCAAGTAGCCAACAGAATATCAGCCCTGCAAGTAGCCAACAGAATATCAGCGCTGCAAGTAGCCAACAGAATATCAGCGCTGCAAGGAGCCAACAGAATATCAGCGCTGCAAGGAGCCAACAGAACATCAGCGCTGCAAGGAGCCAACAAAATATCAGGGCTGCAAGGAGGCAACAAAGCATCAGCGCTGCAAGTAGCCAACAGAATATCAGCGCTGCAAGTAGCCAACAGAATATCAGCCCTGCAAGTAGCCAACAGAATATCAGCGCTGCAAGTAGCCAACAGAATATCAGCCCTGCAAGTAGCCAACAGAATATCAGCGCTGCAAGTAGCCAACAGAATATCAGCCCTGCAAGTAGCCAACAGAATATCAGCGCTGCAAGTAGCCAACAGAATATCAGCGCTGCAAGGAGCCAATAGAACATCAGCGGTGCAGACTTATCTGTATCTTCATGTTGAGTTGGTTGCCTCTTCATCATTGCGATACATAAAGCCACCTCCATTTTTTAGTTTGTAATATTTATATTCCCTCATTTTTACCTTCCTTAAAATATTATCTTCATTTCTAGGCATTACATGCCCATACCACGGCAGACTCTTCAACCTCTGCGGATAATATTATCATTATCAGCTTCTTCCTTATCCCATTTATTTGTGGTCGTCGTAATATGATTTTCTCCTCCATCCATCCCAGTTCGCAATCATCTCGTTATTTACTTCCTTTCTTACCATCTTTCACACAGTCCATCCATCTCTTTTTCGGCCTTCCTCTGCACTTATAACCATCCACATTCATATGTAACACCTTCCTTAAGATATCATTTTCATTCCACTTTCATATTTCCTCTAATGTATTCATTCTTTATCTTGTCCATTCTTGTCATACCACACATCCATCTCAACATTCGCATTTCAGTTGCATGCAATATAAATAAAATATATATACATACACATAAATGAAATATTTTGCTATAAATGTATACAGGAGAATAGAGTAATAGAATAGAAAATCATTTATTCAAATAAACTTACATTGAAGCACTTTTGAATAGTCATCACATTTTTTTAATCTACCGCTCATTCGGAAAGCTGTCTCATCACAAGAAGAACGAGCAAGAAATTTGTGTGTTGTTCTTTTAAATACATTTATTTTTACTCTACAATTTAAGTTTAAGTGTGTGAATACAAACAACCGATCAGCACTAATTGAATTAAAAAAATCAAATAGAAAAAATATTGAATTGTTTGAATTGCTGTGTAACAAATATTTGATTTATTGCCTCGCACGGCACAAACATTTGTATTCATGAGTATGATTGTTTTCTATGTATAATATATGTATTTACGAAAAAAAAAAATCTATATATTTGTATCAGTTAACTAGTACCAATAACACAAGCTTTAGATAGCTTAACTTGCGTCTAGATGGCGCTGTGTGAATTGTCCTGAGATTATTATTATATTAATTATATATTACTAACTACACGCCCCGGTTTTTCACAGGTGTACATGTATTATATATATAAACAAAAAGGTTGAATCACTCTATCTATTGCTGAAAACGACATTAAAATCCGTTGCTAATTTAAAAAATACAAACGAACAGACATCGGCGTCTACTTTGCTTTATATTATACAAAGATTTGTTTCAAATGTCTTTCATAAAAGTCTATATAAAAGCCGAATCGTGATATTAAATATTATCGGAATTTGAAACGCGCCTTTCATTCTGCAATTTCAATTTCGATAAGGAGTACAGACGAACCTTTCAAATAAATTGTTAGTATTGAATTCGTGTACGGGGTGTGCAGTTCAAGTTACAGAAATAGCTTCGAGTTTGGCTACTGTGACTGGGAGAATAAAAAATAATAATTCGAAAGTGCTTGTATTGAGTTTATTTGAATAAAGATATATAAGAATAAACCCATATATGAAATTGATCTATTTCTAATTTCATACATGGGTTATGTATAGATATATTTAACCAAAACACTTTTAAAAAAACTTAGTTAATGTAGGTGATAAATCTTTTAACAAAGTATATCTCAGTATAAACGCGAAAGTTTGTGAGTATGGATGGAGGGATGGATGTTTGTTACTCTTTCACGCAAAAACTACTGAACGGATTTTGATGAAACTTTATAATATAGCTTACTAGCTACTCGCCCCGGCTTCGCACGGGTGTACATGTATTATATTTTATTATATTATTATTATTATTAATTATACATATATAGTCAGACAGCGACAGCACTTCATTTTATACTATGTAATGATTAACAGAATAACATATAGATAATAAGTTTCATGGGGGTGAAGTCACGGGTATAACTAGTATTGCAAAAACTACATTAGTATAAAACAAATATGGAAATGCCAAGTTTTTCCTTTACCACCAACAGTTGACAGTATTAACAATGTATCTGACTGACTGACATACAATCATATTTGGTCTCGACTAACATATAGGGACCTTAAAAAGAACTCTTGTAGGGACTGGTCTGCTCTAATCACTATGACTGATTTCCTCTTATTAATTGTTTAACCAGTTGGTTGTATATTCAATATTTATTCTATATGAGTATTTAATTGAATTAGTGCTAATTGGTAGTTTATATTCACATACTTAAACTTAAAAATGTAAAGTAAGAATAAAATTATTTAAAACAGCAACACGTAAGTTTCTTGCTCGTTCTTCTTATGATGAGACAGCTTCCCGAATGAGCGGTATATTAAAAAAAATGTGATGACTATTCAAAAGTGCTTCAATGTAAGTTTATTTGAATAAATGATTTTATATTCTTTCCATTCTATTCTATAAAAGAAAAGAATATAAATTAATCCAATCCAAATTCGTATCAAAACCTATACGTTTTTATACTGTGCTGATTGAATTGTTGAGAAGAAAGCTCAGACATTGTCATTCTAAATCACTCTCAGAAATTACAATAGGCACTTGAAATCTCCAAATTTGATTCAGTCAGGAAAACAAAAAGATTTAACGTGTCCTTACGTCAAAGGGCGGGAAAATGAATTTCCTGAAACAAAGCTGATAGCCTTTGTTCCTTCTGAAAGCTGTTGAATGTTTGCTGGCGTGTACAGTGTTTTTATCTCATTTCATTGTATACATGTTGCTAAACAACTAAGTGTATAAGGTTTATTTCGGTTCGGAATTAACAGTGCTGGATGATGATTCCATAGTTTCTAGAAAACGGCACTGTGGAGGACTGCCACTCATACAGATGATCGGTATGATATTTTAATTTATGGCGGGTAGTATTGTGGTGTATTTTTTTAATAGTTGTTAATGGAATGGTGCTTGTTTCTTCTTTTAATGTTCTTCTTATTGTTTCATAAATATTTTTGTATTGTTTGTATTTTTCTGTTGAGTTTTATTTGATGGAGGGTAGTGGTCATCTTGCCCCACGGTGACCAAGCGACTTGGGGTGAAAAATATAAATAAATAAACAAAAAACATGATGTTTGAAAAATATTATGTGGAAGTTAAAACTAATAAAAAAAATGGAATGGTGAACTAGCGGTTTTTTTTCGGAATGATAGTGGAATGGTGCACCCGCCTGCGCCAACGGTTTACGCTGGCGCAGCATCAGTGGAGGATGACAAGATGAACATGAGATCAGATCAGTTAGCCCATCGTGGTAAATTCGCCATGAATTTATCACGATGGTTTCCAGGATGAACCGTATGGAGGTCAACCTGACATAGTACATTGCTAGTAATGGGGTCATGAGTCCACATTACTAACAACCCTCTAACCCCTGCGCTAACGGTTTACAATGGCGGGGCACCAGTGTAGGATCAGATCAGTTACCTCATCGTGACAAATTTACCTTTATAGCTATATTTGCTGGGGTTGACCTTATTTACATCAGGTCAATCATACTTATTAAACAAAATCTACTCACTAAACAATTACTTAAACGGCAATAGTTGTTCATGTACAGGTGTTGATGACTCGTAAATACAATGAGTAGTGAACTGTAAATTATTATATTTAATACGAGGAATTATAATATTACAAGGGGACATTATTTAATTAATAAGGTACGCGTGCTGTGACGTCGTAGGCGCAAGGCAAAGAGAAAGGTGTCCCGGCCTAGCGGCTGTCAATAAGTACATAATTGAATTAAACTTCTCTTCTTCTCATTCGTTTTGTTCTTGTCAGAACGGTCGTGGTCATTACGTAGTGGGATGTGAGGCTGTCATCTGCCGCACGACAGCTCGCCATTTGTCTCTACTGTCTGCCATTCTGGTACACTCGTGGAGTGGACCGCCTATTGCTGCTGATTTGGTAGGTCCATCGCATGGGTGACCATCCACGGGGTCTAGTACCATCAACTCTACCCTCTCTACCCTGAATTAAACTGGCATATGAAAAAATAAGAAATTGTGTTAAGTTTCTTGCCAGTTATGCTGAATTGAATCTGTATACTGAACTGGACGGTAGTGAAAATAATATTAATACAAAAAAACTTGATGTTCATTAATGACTAAAGTGTAGTACATGAATAAATGATTTTTATTTGATATACAAAGTCACACAAAGTGGAACACAGTCTTACCTATTTCAGCTTACTTTGTAAGAAGTATTCATTTGAATCCTGAGATAAGGTTTATACCTTCTCATTAGTAAAACATACAACACGATTGATAGTTTTCTTAGAGATACGAACTATAATGTTTATAATTATTATAGAATGTATTTAATAGTCGAATAGAATAATTTAAATTAATTTACATCAATTTATGATTCTAAATTTTAAACCTAATTGGTTGATCATACTGTTCTTTATTGTCTGTAGAGATATCGCCACTTTTTACGTTTATATAATAAAATAAATAAACCAAAAAATAATAAGCATGTAATTTCATAATTTTAACCAAAAGCACAGCACACCAACTGCGTAGCAAAATATATAGATAAGTTATATACACATTATAGAATAGAATAGAATAGAAAATCCTTTATTCAAATAAACTCTATTTGAGCACTTTTGAATACCCTGAGGAGATAAAAACCATCACTCCTAAGAAAATCCTTAAATTCTTGTCCATGACGGGTCTAGGCAGCGAATTTTGAAAAAAGGGGAGCACGATAGATCTATGTAGGTCGCAGTGCTACAGGTCTTAACACGATGGAAAGGGGATTCTAAGTAATGTGGACTGATAATCTTATTAGCTAGCAATGTACCATGTCAGGTTGACCTCCACGCAGCGCCCTCTGGAAACCATAGTGATAAATTCCTAGTGAATTTATCACGATGGGCTAACTGATCTCATGTTCATCTTATCATCCTCCACTGGTGCCTCGCCAGCGTAAACCGTTAGCGCAGGCGGGTGCACCATTTCATTATTATCTACAAAAAACAAAACACCTGACAACAGCCCTCAATAAAAAAGAGACATAAATGGATATGAACACACATACATACCCTACAAGCAGCACCCGATCCATCATACTCGTGATCGGGTGCTGCTTGTGGGGACTGGTCTGTTCAGGTTGAAAACACTGATTAGATTTTATGATTTTTTTTTATATAGCATATGCTGGTGGTCACTATATTCTCTCAAATTTGAATTTAAATGAAATAGTATTATTGTAAATATGTACAACATTTAAAAAAAAAATTACGAGCTGAGTTTCTTGTCAGTTCCTCTCATCTCGAAATCATTCCGAACTGACGGTAGATTTGACATATCATAAGAGTCTGTAATAGACCTACATGAATAAAGATATTTTGAATTTGACATGATTTTTCATGAGTGCACCATTCCATCATCCATAAAAAATACTATAACTCGTAGTTGTGAGTAAATATATATTATTAGGTACGTTTTATCAAACACTCAATTCTATTTAGACAGCTGAAACGTAGCAGCAGCTGTAAGTCCATTGGATAACATCCAATGATTCAATGTTGCCACCCAATGACATGTGTTATATATAAACCGAGTATTTTATAAGATTTAATAACTTCCTCGCCGAGACGGGGTTTTCGTTGATGATTTTTTTCAATCATTGAAATAGCAGCTTACGGCCTATCTGATGGGAATTAGCTTGAAAAACCGTAGCCTTTAAATATGCGTATACCTTTTTGTAAAGGTACTAGCCTGACCTGGATGAAACGTTGTTTTGCCATAAAAATTGAATTACCATTATCCCTATGCAGAAGGGTCAAAATTTAGAGTTGTATATGTTTCTTAATGATTTCATCATTAAAAAAATATAGTCTAAATAATATTCCAAAAATAAATCTTTGGGTTAGAATCACCGTTATCACTTAGGGGTATATAAAATAGTATACATCCTGTTATGAGACCTACTGAATATACAAACAAAATCCCATAAGAATCGGTCAAACCGTTTCTGAGAAGTTTTGTTACAAACACTGTAGCACCTGAATTTTGTTATATTAGATTGAAATGGTAACCAAGCACATTTGATGGCAAGCACTAACCGTCGCTGATATATATGAACAACACTACGGATATCACGTTATCATGCGATATGCGTGATACCAAACGTGCGCTGCGTTTCCAGAGAACTAAGTAAACTCTTATCCTGTAATTTCACTTCCTAAACTATAATACATTCTACCACTGAAACACTGTTTATAAAGCAAACTATACAAGTAAACAATAAGTGAGATTGAGTAAATAACTAGGCGAGACTAAGGTAACTACGCAGACGATGTTGTACAGTCTACCTTTGGTAAAATAATATAGATAAACTGCATGAACTTTACAAATTATTTTATTCAAAATACAAAATTCTAAAATTATTTATTCATGTAGGACATTTTAGCCGCTAATGAACGTCAAATTTTTACATTTTAATTTTAATTTTT